ATTGCAAAGGAGCACAACGCTCATCAGTTCCAACCCCCTGCTGTGTGCAGGTCACCAACCAGCAGCCCAGGCTGCCCACAGCCACATCCAGCCTGGCCTTGCATGCCTGCAGGGATGGGGCATCCACAGCCTCCTTGGGCAGCCTGTGCCAGTGCCTCATCACCCCCTGGGTGAAAAACTTCCTCTTAATATCTAACCTAAACCTCCCCTGTCTCAGATTAAGACCATTTTTCCTATGTTTTCCATAACTGTAAGCCAAAAGGAGAGAGCAATCTTTAGGGTAGTGAAAGCAGGACCCGTCTGATGGCCCACGACTGTGATGCTGCTGGATCAGCTGCTGAGCTTGCACGCAAATGCTGTGTGCTTGCAGTGGGTGGGTGCTGTAAGGCTACAGCAGGAGAACAGCAGGCAGAAAGAGCTACAGCCAGAGGGAACAACAGGACAGCACGCTCACTGCAACTCCAGCAGATCTTCCTTCCTCAAGGAGCATTACAAAGCACGAGCACAGCTGCTCAGAACACCGTCCCCGTCTTATCTAAAGCACACATTTTCTACTGGTCCTAACAACTCATTACTCACATCCATTACAAAGTGCAGCGGCAGCCTCGACTTGTTGTAATACTCTGAAATTTCTCACAAAGAGAAACTGGAAGCCCACGGTTCCATCACATCCTGCAGTAGCATTTCAGAGAAACCAGACACCACTACAGGCCGAGCTCCACAAGAAAACAATTTTGTGCACAATTTGTGACACGAATGGATTAACATTGAAATATTAATCCAGACTGGGGCTGCTGGCCAGGAAAAAGCTCAAAATGAAACCAAACTTTTCAACAATTCCACTATTTACCTAAAATCCCTACACTGCATTTGAAAGAACTCAAGCAGGAAACCCACAAGCAGCAGTGTTCTATCATACATGCACAAAAATCCACAAAATTCTTCCGTTACGACAGGGAAAAAAGCAACACTTCCTATTCTAGAAATGAAGACCACTAAATGCTATTGTTTTCTCTTCAATAGCTTGTAAGAAAAGCAGAGGGAATACAAGCAGTGGTGTAACCAACTGCCTGGAGACGACAGGCTTACCAGGGATGCCAGGATGGAACCCTCAGATCTGCACTGGGTTCAGACATCTCTGTGAGATACCCTGCCAAAACTGCTCCAAAGCAGGACACGCCATCAGCACCAGTTTAATCTGCACATGTAATGAGAGCGAACAAAAGTCCTGCTCACCAGGATGGATTGATGCGAATCACCAATTTTCATCAGCAGGAAACCTCACTTTAAGCTGTTCTGACCTTATTTTGTATCTAAGCATCACTCAAAAGCTCTGTCCCAACTGCCAGAACACCTCAACGTGGAATCACATCAGCAATCATGCTAACTTTACTGCTGCTTCCTCCAGGGGAGGCTATACTCACTTACCCATATTATTTTAAAGCAATTGCATGGCACAATAAAAACAGAAAGCTTGAGGATGTGAAAAAGTGTTATTAGAAATGGTTATTAGAACACATTTCTTAAGCACTATTTCTGCACTTGTTTCAAGATGCATAGGAAAACTAGAATTCTGATTCACAAAGAGGTTTAAAACCCTTCAACTTAAACAACAGCAATCAGGAGAAAAATCTCGCCAGATATCACAGATTTAAAGAGGGGTTATTAAAGTACTTCCACACAGCATTAATAAATCGATTTTCTGACTAAAAGCAACCCAACTTCCAGAAATGCAAACAACAACAAAGTGCATTCAAAGAAGTCAACTGTCCACTGATTGTGGAAGAGAGCTCATCCTGCTCCTCTCCCATACAGCTCCTGCTTCTTCCCATTGTTGGCTGAGACCATTGGAAGCCCATTCAACCCCAGAAACAGCAAAAATTAAGCTCTCTGTTCCTGAAGTCAGCAAGCAGAATCATCCCACTGCAGGGCGAGGAACACCGTGAGCTGGCGCAAAGGATGCCAACAGAACTGCATTTTCTAGCACAGGTGAGCATCCAGAACTGCTCGAGACAAGCACACAGCCCACGGACAAACTGACCCAACCTCATGGCTTGTCATCTTTGGAAGGAGGAAGACATCACTCCCTTGCTGATGCCCACGTCTGGCTGTGCCGTCCCAGCTCCAGCAGCCCCTAGGTCTGTGCATTAGCCGATGCCACCGGCCGCCCTGCAGGAAGCATTTCATTCCTCCTCAGCTACAAGCTGAGCCAGCCCACAGCACAGGCCGGGGAGCACCCACCTATGCAGGAGCAGCAGGAGAGCAGAGCCATCCCTTTCTGGCAGCTGCTTGACCGCACAGCTGCTGTCCATCCTCTCCCACCCACATGTGGAAACCCAAACAAAGCTGTGCCAGTCTGGCTGGGGGATTTGCACCCCCAACTTGCCCAGCCCATCCCTGATCAAACATGAGCATCCTTTTTCCTGTGCAGGCCTGGCACCTCTTACTTTCCAGTGATTTAGGGGGGAAAAAAAACCAAAAACAAAACAATGCCTCAAACCAAAAAAGCCCTCTGCATTCACCCCCAGTTGTGCCTGTAGCAACCTGACTGGTGCGAGCTATTACAGAGCAAAACAACAAAAAAGCAGGAGCTCAGCACTTCTGGAAATCATAGCAGGTATTTAGCTTTGTAACTTGCCAGCAGATAGCCTGACCCCATCTCCTCAAGTTTTTGCAATCACAAGATCTCATTCTCACGTTGTATTCAAACACTATAATGGATAAACAAACGACAACAAAGAAGCATTCTTTCAACTACTAATCATGCTTTTAAGTCAAAATCTTCTCCTCTCAATAGACATGACAATTTTTATAGCAGGGAGAAAAACTGCTCAGCGTTCACTCCACCACAAAGACTAAATAAGCTGCTTAAAGCACAATTCTGTAATATACACAAAGCCCTGATCTTAAGTTAGAGATGCTTTCTTTCTGACTACGCCTTGGACAATCTTCTAACATTTGGAGCATTAGCACTCAAACCCAGCACATGAGCACGCTTTGAAATGGAACACAACCCTAAAACAGGTTATTAATCCCAAATCTAAACCCCTGTATAATAGACATTCAAACTATTGTTTCCCCTCTCTTCTGCCCTGCATTCAAATCAATACATTTCTACAAAAGTGAAACGGGATTTTTTGTTAATTTAGTTTCATTTTCTGGACTCACTAAGCAGGCTCAGAGCTCCTGTCTGAAGAACTTCCCTGTCAATTTCCAGAAGCTCCATCCTTATTACTGCCCTCGTGCAGCTCCTCCAGGCACAGCTATGCTGAGGAGACTTCATCCCACCCCCTACAGAAGTCACGAGCTGCACTGGGAGCCATCATATTCAGTGCACTGCTCCTAGCTTAAATCACTAGCTTAAAAGAGAGTTTTTTATTTCTAATGTTGATTGGTTTCCATATCTAGAAGGCAGTGCAGGCATAAGGCTGTTTGCACAAACGGCTTCAGCAGATGCAAACAAATGTCAAGCCAAGCCCGTGTTGCTGCTGCTGCCTCTGAGTTTGTCCCACAGGTGGATCGAGGCTTCCAGAGCCTCTTTGTGCTGCTCCTGCCCCGTACCCAGAGCTAAAGCAGCCCTGATGCAACAAAGAACTCATCAGAGCTTTTCTTCAAAATACTTGAAGGGGGGAAAAAAATATATTCTCTTCCTTTTCTTAGTAAAATATCAAAGCCAACAAGTAACAAAAGCCTTTCCCTTCGGAACAACATCCATAAAGTGAAAAAAACAATGCCTGTCTGCCCTCCATACCCCATGGCTTTATTGCTCTCTGCAGCACGCATCCCCTACAACTCTCAGCCCCGTCCCTGCTGCAACGTCAATAGAAGTACGTGACTGTACCAAATAGGAAGTAGTGCAGCTCTGCCTGTGGCTCCCAGCAACATGGCGAGCCTCGGCTCTCCCAGAACGGAGCTCTGGGGGTATTTCACAATAACACTGGGCTACATTAACAAAACTTATCAGCAGCTGGCGAAACTTGAGACCAAACCCCTGAACTGTGCGTTGCCCCAGCCCCTGCCTCTGGCTTCACCGACACAGGAGTTAGCAGCCACATTGTCTCAGGGCTCAGACCCCGGATTCTCTGCCTCTCAAGATGTAGAAAGAAAACAATTGTATTAACTTGTAAAGACAGCTTACATTGTTACATTAAGTAACAATGGCAGAAGGTAATGCTATATTATAGCTGAAAAAATAGCTCCAAATAAGAATTCACATATATTCAGAAATTTCAAAGGAACGGGGAAGATTCATCACACACAAGATATTTTAAACACAGATTCCTCTCTCCCGCAAACGTAGCTGGAAGAAATGGCCATCCTGGGAAGAATCTGTTTATAGCATACCTTCCAAACAAGCATTTCTAATTTGTCTGTCAACACTATTCAAGCAGCAAGTTGATTCCATGATTCTAAATTACCTTAAAATTGGGATCTTAGGATAATCGGAAGGAAACTTGACAGAACATCAACTCAGCTATCCTAACTTGCCTGCTGGGACACCAAAGTGCTGCTCTTCCCAATCCCACCGCGATGGACATCGTGCACATCAGTCAGCCCGCACAGACCCGCAACGGGCTCAGGAAGCTTTCTGCCATTCCCTGCGCTTCCCCCACAACCCTCCTTCCCCCTCC